CGGACAGAAAGAACATCTAGAAACTTCTGCTAAAAAGTTAACAGATATAGGAATTAGAAAAATCTTTTCTTCAGAGCATGACATTTTCCAGGAAAGTGTAAGGAAGTTTTTTTTCAAGAAGTGATTCCTTAGCACTCAGAGTAAGTAGCACATTTTCCTCTAATGTAGTAAATATTAGGGGTATGATAGGACCATTCCCTAGAATGTCATACATTGCTATACAGGAAACATACTATGTTCGGGGCTTTATTCACATTTTTACTGCTCTTCACCATAACATTGTAAAATCCCGGGATTCTTAGAGATTTTTTTTAATGAATTTTAAAATGTACTATACACAAATAAGAAAATTTGAAAATTTGCAACTTAGCCTAAGAGTAGTATTTTTTTAAACCATGGGTAAGTGACAACAAAATACTAGTCAATTTCATAGTCTTTTTTTTTCTCCTTCATGGATTAATTAAACTAAAAGCTCAAAAAGTCAGCATAATACAAACCTTGGTAAGCAATTGGTTACCTCTGGATATTTCTTGATTAATTACTATTACTTTATTAACCAAAAACCTATCATTTCTATTACAATAAGATTTTGCTTCATTTCCAAAATTTACTCAGTGCCAATACAGATACTCCTCAATTTAGGATGGGGCTACAAGTTGAAAATATCATAAATCAAAAATGCATTGTTATTATTTTAACACATTATTATAAAAACAAAAAAATTCTCAGCACTGTTATGTTAGAAGCAGAAATTAGAAGATTAGTAAAAATGAAGAGAGAAATGGTTCAGGAACATCATAGCTTTGTGAGGTTTTATACACCTACCCTGCTAAATGCCATAGTTTAGGCCAGCCTGCATGCTCAAAACAATTATATAAGCCTACAGTTAGGCAAAGTCATCTAACGCAATGTCTGCTTTGCAATAAAGTACTAAATAACTCATGTAATGTATTAAATACTCTAATGAAAAACAAAATGGTTATATGGATGCTTGAAGTAAGTATGTTTTTGACTGATCATGAATTGCTTTTGCACCATACTTAAAAAAAATTGTAAGTTGAACTGTCTTAAGTCACAGACATTTGTACTTTACGATGTTTAGAATGGTTTTTAAATAGAATTAAAAGTCATTTCCATTAAGTTTTTACTAATACCTTCTTGGTAAGAATGACCAAAATTAGCTAAACCCAGAAGCCAAAAGCCATGACTAGTCTTTGGTGAAAAGCAACTAACTTCTGTTTTTCCGTTTTTTGGTTTTTGGTTTTTGGTTTTGAGATATGGTATCATTCTGTTGCCCAGGCTAGAGTGTAGTGGCATTGATTATAGCTCACTGCAGCCTTGAACTTCTGGGCTCAAGCGATCCTCCTGCCTCAGCCTCCCAAAGTGCTGGGATTACAGGAGTGAACCTGCATGTGGCCTCAACTAGCTTCTTAAAGACAAGAGAGACATAGTACACTTTGCTCTAATAGAATCTCTTTTGTTTATTTCTTCACTGCTTTTAAACTTTGTTCCAGAAAAAAATGTTGAGAAGGCTTTGAAATAAAATAATAGGAGCTGACAAATTTTAAGTCAATAATAAAAATATTTCCAAAGCTACTGTAGGCAACAACTGTGTTCAAACCACACCTGAAAATCCAACTCTTAAATTTTTTGTAGTGTCTATAACTACCTTCAATCAGTATCTTCAAATGCCCCATATCTTATTAATTATAATCCACTTAAAAATACAAAAATTTTCAGATATTTTTTTCACTATCTCCAACTAGCCATCTATTTCCTCATCCTGCCATTCTTATTTTTAAAGAAGAAAAGCTGAGGATGCCTATCCTACACAAATGTCTAATGTTTTCAGAAGTTCATTTGATATAGAGCTATGGTGCAAGGTGCTTCTGCTCTCCTGGTGTTCCTGTTTAAACTGTAATGAGGTTCCCTACTTTGTCAGCTTCTGTATGCTTGTCCCATAAGTTCAGCACTTTAAGGAAATATGCCAAGGAGAATTGCCTTTTACTATAACAGGTTAGGCAAATTCCCATGATGACATAGCATAACTAAGCTTGTATGTAAGAGCACCAGCTGAGCAAAACTACGTCAATGAATATCAGTGGGTATAATTTTCAAGCCCAATAAATAGTCAAGATGGGGAAAGGAAATGGCAAACATAAAGAAGAAGAGAAAGCTGGGTGCTATGGCTCATACTTGTAATGCTAGTGGTTTGGGAGGCTAAGGTTTGAGGACTGCTTGAGGCCAAGAGTTTAAGATCAGCCTGGGCATCATAATAAGGCCCCAGCTCTACAAAAAAAA